TATGTAGATTGCGTCTATTGCTTTGCCCTGGTCGAGTTGTGTCGTCCATATGTTTTTGCAGTGTAAGAGTTGCAGATTACAGGATAGTTTTTTTCTGAAACCAAATTGTTTATTGGAGAATAGGTTGTTTGTCTCTAAGTGGAGGATGATGGATTGGTTAATAATTGATTCCATGACTTTACAGGTGACGCAGCATAAGGAGATTGGCCTGTAATTTTCAACTAGGCTTGGGTCTCCCTTTTTGAAGATGGGGATGACTGTGGCTTGTGACCATAGGTTAGGCAAGGAGCTGGTCCTGAAAGATTTTTCAAAGATTATGCTTAGAGGTTTGGCTATGGAAGTGGATAGCTTTCTTAAGAAGTAGGCACATATTCCATCCGGTCCAATAGATAGAGATGGTTTTAGATTGCGTAGTGATTTTTCGACATTGTCTTCTGTGAAATCGATATGTATTAGATCATTGTTGTTATCTGTGGTACGGCTAGGAAATACTGGGCATGATCCATTGCTGTTTACAAATACTGAGCCGAAGAATGTGTTAAAGATGTTGGCTTTAATGGTGTCGTCGTTGCAGTCTTTACCATTAGGTCCTATCAAGGGAGGGATGGACCTTGAGTCTTTTAGTTTGTTGTTTACAAAATTGTAAAAAGCACGGGTGGAGTTGGTGCTTAGAAGGTTTTCTTCTTGTTTAATGTGATAATTGGTGCATTCAGTCTTTATCTGGTGGCATAAATTTTTGTATCGGTTTTTGAAATTGGCAACGTGACCAGATTTGTTTTTCCGCCAGAGTGATCTCTTTTTGGATTGAAGTTTCCTTATTGATATGGGTAATCTGCTTTTTTGTTTTGTTTTGGGAATTGATGTTGGAACATATAGTTTGATGACTCTTTTGACTTCAAGTAAAAATATGTTGTAATGGTCTTCAACGGTATTGCATCCAGTGAATAGAGATTGCCAATCAAGGGATGAGAGATCGTTGTCTATAAGATCATAGTTGCCTTTTTTGAAGTTACAATAGGGGATTACATCATTGTGGTGATTTTTGTGTGGACGTATGTTGAGACAAAAGTCAATCATATTGTGGTCACTACTGGAAAAGGGTTCTTTAGTTTGTATTCCATAAATTAAGTTCAAACTGTTGCAGAAGATGAGATCGAGGCAGTTGTTTAGTCTAGTGTTGTTGATTACTAGTTGTTCCAGTCCCAGATTTGTAATAGCATTGTAGAAGGTTGTGTGTATGATTTCAGTTGTACAATCATTTAGGGTCCAGTCAATATGAGGTAGATTGAAATCACCAAGAAGGATAAAAGGGTATGGGCAGGATGCAGCCCATGTTAGTAATGTATTTAGCTTGTTTACATGTTCGATGTCATAATCAGGTGCTCTGTAACATAGTAAGAATCGAATTGTGATATTTGAGGATAGTTCACAGATGATGGTTTCAGGAAGGGCAAACTCCTGGGTAACTTGGATATTTTTTAGATGTAAGGATTTTTTATAGAATATAGCAACACCACCTCCTCGACGATTTTCACAATCTGATCGGTAAACATGATAGTCTCTTACTGTGGTAATGGAGTCGGGGAGAGATGCATTGAGCCATGTTTCACAGACAAATATAATGTCGAAGTTAGCCATATTTAGGAGGAAGAGAAATTCAGGTATTTTATTCACGAGGCTTCTTGCATTGAGTAGTTTGCATTTAAGGCCGGCAGTAGTTGGAATTAAGGTAGTTGGGGGCGTGCGTGCCTAGTCTTGGGTGATGGTGGATGGGTTGAGGTAGGGTTGTGGTTGAGGGTAAAAGCTGAGTATTGGGTTGCGTGGCTTACTTTTGATACAGTCAGCATGGTAGTCAATGTACAGGTCCTTCTCTCCATTGTCTAGACGGTTTTTGAGTTCGATGCGGAGTACACGGGAGCGGGCACGTTGCTGTATGGTTAGGTCAGGGCGGCAATGGAGGTTCTTATGGTTGGTGTTGGTTTTGGCGAGTGAGTTTATAGTATAAATGAATTTACGTTTGCTTGATTCATTTTTGCAAATGACCCTGCACAAGCGTGGGGCCACAGAGCCGTCTCTATTTTTGAGCTCTCGGTCAATGCGGGAAATGTCAAGTATTTCATCAGCGGAGATGGTTGATGCTTGATAATCTCTGATGATGTTTCGGACAGTTGTGATGTCATCATTGACATTGATGTCTTTACCATCAGTTCATTCCAGCTTTTGCAAATATCGCCCTCCCCATCACAAACTTGTTAAAAATGAAAGGGGGGGAGAAACCCAAAACCATGGTAACCCCTTACCTGGATGATGGAATGCCAAGCAGCATTCAAAAAACTTAAACAACAGTTCTCAGCAGAACCAATCCTGAAATACCCAGACCTTGAACAACCATTTGTCATCCAAGCAGACACTAGCGATGTAGCAGTTGGAGCAATTCTACTCCAAAAGAATGGACGTGGACAGTTACAACCATGTGCTTATACTTCCAAGAAACTGACAGAAACCAAGCAAAGTTGGGCCATATGAAGAGGCATATGCTGGGCGATGGGCACTCCTCACATAGAGACATTTCCTAGAAGGGAACCAAATCCCCTTTGAAGTCTGGACTGATCATAAAAATCTAGAAGCCCTGAAAACTCTACTGAAACTCTCAGAAAAACAAGCAAGGTGGGATCAATATTTTAAAGGGTTTAATTTCAGTCTCAAATATCACCCAGGGTGAAAAAATTTCTTGGCAGATGCCTGTCCAGGAAACCCCAATACAACAGCAAAAAGATTGAAGTTATAAAACCCATGATCCAACCAACCCAAATTGCAGCCAAAGTAATTACCCGGGCACAAGAGAAGAAAGAATCACTGACTGACAATGCAACAACTTCAGGCACTATTTAAGGATGACTGGCTCCAGGCTAACAAAGACACTTGCTTACTCAAAGATGGGCTAGCCTGGGTAGAAAACAAATTTTACGTCCCTGCCAGCCAGAGGATGGACCTCATGAAACGTTGCCATGACTCAAAAATAGCGGGACACTTTGGTTTTGTAAAAACCCTGCACCTCATCAAAAGACAATTTTGGTGGCCATCTCTCAAAAAGGATATTGAAAACTATGTTGCTAGTTGCCCCATCCGTGCTGCTGTAAAAAGAAGACAAGAAAAATCTCCTGGACTTTTACAAACAGTGGCAGAACCTTCAGCACCCTGGAAAGAGATCTCTATGGACTTTGGAGTGGAGCTCCCTGAAAGTGCAGGAAATACTGTCATTTGGGTTGTAACTGATCTTTTTTCAAAACAGGTTCATTTTGTACCATGCCAAAAGATCCCAACAGCCAAGGCCTTGGCAAAGATGTTTTTAATACACATTTATCGCCTTCATGGAGCTCCCCAATGGATTATCTCAGATAGGGGTGTACAATTCACATCCACATCTTGGTGGGCATTTTTAAACCAATAAGGCTCCACCCAGGGGTTGTCATCGTCCAATCACCCCCAGACTAACAGCAGAGCTGAACAATCGAACAGCGTATTAGAACAAAAGTTAAGATGCTTTATTAATTACCAACAGGACAATTGGACTGACCTCCTTTCCTTTTGCAGAGGTAGCATACAACAACTCGGTCCACAGCAGCACTGGTTTCACCCCATTCCAGGTAGCCACAGGCCAAGAATTCAACCCCATGCCAGAACTACCCACCAAGGAACCTGAAATTCCCTCCCTTAAGGAGTGGATTAATAATTTGCAAGCCACTTGGGCAGTGGTCAGACTAGCCTTACAAGAGGCTAGAGCAGCTTTTAAAGCTCAAGCAGACAAAAAACCGCTGTGATCCTAAACCATTCAAAGTTGGGGACCGCGTATATTTGTCCACAAAATTCCTAAAATCATTGCAACCCTCTAAGAAACTGGGACCTAAATTAATTGGGCCATTTTCCATCTCAAAAATTATTCATCCTGTTACGGTAGAGCTTCTATTTCCCAAAACAGACAGGTTCATCCAGTATTTCACTGTAGCCTACTCAAACCAGAGATCGCTTTGAACCTTAGACTCCCCCTTCCCACACCTCCAACTCCCATTATGGTACATGGGGAACAACATTTTGAAATTTGATTTGCGCACTCACCATGGATCCACACAATATTTAGTAGCTTGGAAACACCTTCCTTCCTCAGAAAATGAGTGGGTAGCCAAATGACATGTAAAATCACCCACATTACTATGGAAGTTCCACCTGAAATACCCTCACAAACCATCCTAAGTTGTAAATGTAACATATGTTTTATGGCTTCCAGGTGGATTTATCAAATTTTTGAGGAGGGCAGTATGTCAGATCCATATATCTGCCATTCTTCAATGGAAGAAGAAGGGGGGAAGTGGGTACAAGTAATCCTTTTTGATGTAACCTGAATATATTAAATCTTATATTGAATCTTATAACTTGCACATGATATACAACTGGAGGATTGGAACCAGATGTCTAGAAACTTGTCACCTCTTGGAGAGATAGCAAGAGGAGAAGGGACCATAAAAATTCCAGCTCTGGAAGATACCCCTGGGAAACTCTTCTAAGATACGTTCCCAGAGAAGGGGAGGGGGGAATTAATACGTTGGTTCTTTGTTTGACTACATCCACATCTAAATAAGGGGAGGGGTTCTAACTCCCTTTATCTATTACCGTATGCCTGGAAGCATCTTAGATTCTGTTTTGACTAGTACTGGATTCATTTCCTTACAATAAAGAATTACTTTTGAAATACCTAGCTTTCAGAAGTTCATTCTTTTCGGTTGAAGGGGAAAAGTCCAGTGCTTACAGGGAGCTTCATCACTGGAGGCTTCCAGGAAGAGATTGGACTGCTATTTGTCAGAAATGGTGTAGGGACTCCTGTTTGGACTAGATGACCTACAAAGTCCCATCATGAATTTCTTAAGGTGCCAAAGTTAGTTCTTATCTTCTGAACACTATAATGATTCTCTTTTTCATTTTGCTTTGTTTTTGAATGAATATAGGTGCTGATTTTCTAGAGGAACACATGTTTGAGATCCAAACTCTCTGCCAGCGTCTAGAGAAGTCCATCTATACCAATGACCTTTTGCGGGAACAATTGGAAATATATCTCACCTCAATGGCAAAGAGCAATGGTGCGAGAGAAGCAGAATCATCTGTTATTGTAGTGTCAGAGATAACATGCATGTGCTATCATCAGTACCTAGATCTTATCTCCATTTTTATCTATCACCTAGTTCAACTTAACAGAAAAAAAATAAAGTGGTTTAATGGTATAAATAAGAGGATTACAATTGGCAACATATTTTGATAAATACAAGTTTATTTATTTGATTTGATTTGATTTGTCGATCGCTTACAAGATAATAGGTATAAGTATAAACATGACTAAGAATACAGGAAATAGGTACGAATAAATGGGGACAATAGGACAGGGACGGTAGGCATGATTGTGCACTTATGCACATCCCTTACAGACCTCTTAGGAATGGGGTGAAGTCAATAGTGGATAGTTTAAGGTTAAAGGAGTGGGGGTTATAGGATGTAACAACAGAGTCAGGTAGTGCATTCCAGGCATTGACCACTCTGTTGCTCATACTTCCTGCAATCAAGTTTGGAGCGGTTTACATTGAGTTTGTATCTATTGTGTGCTCTTGTATTGTTGCAGTTGAAGCTGAAGTAGTCATTGACTGGTAGGACATTGTAGCAGATAATTTTTTGTGCTACGCTTAAGTCTAACCATAGGTGGCGTAGTTCAAGGTTGTCCAAGCCCAAAATTTCAAGCCTGGTGATATAGGGTATTCTGTTACAAGCAGAGGAGTGTAGTACTCTTCTTGTGAAATATTTCTGGACTCGCTCAATTGTATTAATGTCCAATATACAGTGAGGATTCCAGGCTGATAAGCTGTATTCGAGTATTGGTCTAGCAAAAGTTTTGTATGCTCTAGTTAGCAATTCAATATTTCCAAAGGAGAAGCTTCATAAGATTAGATTTACAACTCTTAATCCCTTTTTGGCAATGCTGTTATAGTGAGCTCTGGCGCTTAGGTCATTTGATATGAGTACTCCAAGATCCTTGACAGAATACTAAATTAATAGTTATTGTTATTAAAGTTGTTAAAATTGAAAGTTATTAGATATTTTGAAAGTGCCTGGCCAATGAAGAATTTGATGAAGTTATGTGTGGGACTGCCACTTTAACTTCATTTTCATTAAAAAGCAGTGCTACAAAGGTTTAAGTATGGAAACATGCTTTAGTATTTTGAGTCACATAATTTGAGTACAAAAATCTAGTAAAGAAAAACCATTCTATTTTGTGCCTACAAATAAAGTTTTATTACATCCAACCATTAGGAGGGCAAGTGATTTCTGAATTCTGAGCTCTTTTAATGATTGCCTTCTATTTTATTTTATTTATTTGTCGAGCATGTATTGGATAACAGATATAAGTATAAACATGATTATTAATACATGAAATGGATAAGAATAAAAGCGAACATTAGGACAGGGACAGTAGGCACATTGATGCGCTTATGCACACCCCTTAAAAGACCTCTTAGGAATGGAGTGAGGTCAACAGTAGACAGTCTAAGATTGAAGTTTTTGGGGTTTGGGGAAGAAACCACAGAGTCAGGTAGAGTATTCCAGGCATCGACCACTTTGTTGTTGAAGTCGTATTTCCTGCAATCGAGTTTGGTGCGGTTTACCTTGAGTTCATATCTATTATGTGCTGTTATATCTATTATTGTTGTGGTTGAAGTTGAAGTAGTCATTGATGGGTAGGACATTGCAATGGATAATTTTGTGTACTACGCTTAAGTCAGACCGAAGTCGATGTAGTTCTAAGTTGTCTAAGCCTAAAATTTCAAGTCTGGTGGCATAAGGTATTCTGTTACAAGTAGAGGAGTGGAGGACTCTTCTTGTGAAATATCTCTGGACTCTCTCAATTGTGTTAATGTTCAATATGCAATGTGGGTTCCAGACTGATGAGATGTATTCAAGAATTGGTTTAGCAAATGTTTTGTACACTTTAGTTAGTAGTATAATATTACTGGAGAAAAAGCTACATAGGATTAGGTTTACTACTCTTAATGCCTTTTTGGCTATGTTGTTACAGTGAGCTCTAGCACTTAGATCATTAGAGATGAGTACTCCAAGGTCCTTGACAGAGTGGGGGTCATCTACAAGGTCATGTTCATTTAGCTTGTATTTTATTTTCTGATTTTTTTGCCAATATGTAAGACAGAGCATTTGTTTGTTGAGATTTGAAGTTGTCACTTGTTTTCTATTCATTAATTTTGTTACTTACTAGCATATCAACTTACAGTACTTGTAAAATTTAGCTATTGGAGAGACCGAACATCTAGAAAGCAACATTCTTATGCCAGCAACACTTCCAAGCAGACATAATCCAGCTATTTTGTTTGTTTTTTCCTAATTGAAGCATTTTAAATTATGAAGGAGAAAAATGATGACAAAATGGAACAGAAGATAGTATTTGAATACTTCCATTCTCCTTCTCCTTCCCAATATCAAGTGATTTTTACTTGAATCAAAAACTTTTCCTGAGTAGCCTCTTATTTCTTTTACAACTATTTTGGTGGGATCATGAGGGATCAGTAGAGAACTCTTTTAATATATCGATATATTATAAGACTTAATAAGCTCATGTATTATAAGATCACCTCAGATAGCTCTCTCAATTCTCAGAGTTAGAGCACCTGCAGAAGGCTCAGCTTGAGTTACATTCAAAACTCCAAGATGGCAAGATGAAGCTGGAATGGCAGCAGATTGAGCGGCAGCAACTACAGGAAGACATTCAGAGCAAGCAACAAGATCTTGTACAGCTTCAAAAGGAGGTCATGGCTTTACAAATGAACAATTCTAGGTGAGCTAAAGCTGGTGGGAATCTGCTGAAAAAAGGGCATAGAAAAGGGTGGACTTTTTTTCTTGACCTGTCTCTTGTGGAATTCAATACTAATTTTTTGGTCTTGAGATTGAAGGGGCTGTATTTTATATGTTAATGGATTGACACTTCAGATGAGCTAGGAACCACTATTGGAGATTCCCGGGAGTGTCTTAGGTTATCTTTAAAATATCAGAAGAGCTTTACAGAATTAGGCCATCTGGTTTACCATTTGGTATCACAGTTAGACGCATTTATGAAACTCACTGACTGGATGGCCAGAATTCTCTTCCACTGCTGCTTTTAGTGATGTGCATCTTCATAATAAAAACTGGTCTGGCAATTCAATGACTTTAAAAAATTATGGTGGCAGAAATTTGTTGAGGATCATAATTCAATCATAGCATTTAATCCATAAAATATTTTGAACAATAATGTTATTTCTACAGTGTCATTAAATTCCTTGAGAATCCAGATGGATTCGTAACTGGCTGACAAACCACACTCAATGTGTAGCCCTTAATGGAACTACATCTACAAAGAGGGAAGAGAGCAGTGGTATATCCCAAGGTTCTGTTTTAGGCCCAGTACTATTTAATTATCTTCATACATGATCTAGATGAGGAAATAGAAAGGAAACTCATCAAATTTGCTGACAACACTAAATTGCCAGTGAAAAGAGATACTTAGGGGTGACATGATAACAGTGTTTCAATATTTGAGGGGCTGCCACAAGGAAGTGGGGGTCAACCTATTTCTCAAAGCATTAGAAGGCAAGGCAAGAAACACTGGTTGAGTAATCAAGGAGAGAAGCAACCTAGAACTAAACAGAAAATTCCCAACAATGAGAACAATTAACCAGTGGAATGGTTTGCTTTCAGAAGTTGTGGGTGCTCCATCACTCTTTCAAGAAGACACTGGACAACAACTTGTATGAATGAGCAGTGAGTTGGACTAGAAGACCTCCAAGTTTCCTTCCAACTCTGTTATTCTGATGTTCTGTTATTTTTGGTTTTATTCTTAGATAGTTCTTGAAAGGATTTCTTTAATAGACCTTTTGGTAGAAATTAATTTATCGGCTTATTTCTTCTAAAAACAGTTATTAAACATAGGAAAAAATAACTGGAGAAAACAGACAAAAGAAAGAAGTGAAATAAAAAATAAGAATGGACTAACATTCTATGTGAATCATTTTGAAATAGCATTGCTCTCCACAAGCATCTGAAAGGAGAATGAAGAATATATTTCTATAGGGCATTACTGCAGGGGTGGGATTCAAATCTTTTAACAACCTGTTCTGTGAGCATGGCTTAATTTGAGGATGTGCTTGGTGGTTATGTGACTGGGTTGGCGTGGCTTGCTGACTGGGCATGGTTTGGTAACTAGATGGGCATGGTTTGGTAGTCACATGGGCTTGGCTGTCATGTGACTGGGTGGGTGTGGCCAGGTGACTGGCAAACCAAATACAAGTGGTCCTTCCTTAATGGCTGGTTGCTTAGCAAGTGTTTTAATTTATGACTGACCTCCCCAGAGCTACTTGACCTGTTTTTGGAGTTTTGACAGCTATGCACACACACACACACACACACACACACACCCTTCCAACCCTGCTATTCTATGATTCTGTAAGGATCTCCTGCTGAAGATGACCTCTGAGATCCCTTGCAGGCCAGCCCTAGATTGCTGTGCTGTTTCAAAGAGTCTTCTGAAGCCAGGGCTTGTGTCCTTCCTTCCTGTCTTTTTTTCTCTCTCCCTCCCTCCCTCCTTCCATGTATCTATCCATCCAGCCATATATCTCATTCACTTTCTCCTTTCTTTCTTTCTTTCTTTCTTTCTTTCTTTCTTTCTTTCTTTCTT